TATATATATATATGGACTATTTTAGTGATATCAAGTAAAAGAGGGTTTTACAAAGAAAAATGTGAAGACACAACATTCAGGATTTTACATAAAAATGTACTTCATTAACAACTTGTAGCAAAAAGTGATAACATAAAAATACATTTAAATACTCTGTAAGCATCAAAGCAAGCAAAAGGAGAAATGAGGTATGCCTAGAGCCCTCTGGAAGACAAAGAATTTAGAAAAACATTTAGAACAAATATTGTGAAGTAAAGCTGTAATACTGACAAACAAGGAAGCGAACATGAGCATTCTGTTCTTTACCTGTTTTTTTTCCTACAATTTTTAGCTTCAAAATTGGCATTAAATATTATTCTTTCATTGCAAATTAAATCAAATCACAAGAAAGGAACAATGTAATATAGAAGCTTTATTCCTTTGCTAGCATGTTTAGTAGAAACAATGAAGAGTCCTGTGAAAACTAACAGATTGATCTGAGCATAGGCTTTTGTGGGTAAAAACCATGGACTCCATCCATCAGATAAAGTGGTTATTATACCCACTACAAAGGCATTGCAGTCAGTTTTCCTTGTAAGCTATGCACTTAGGCAGCTACCCACAAGAGATTCCGGTGCAGCCCAACTGATTAGTACTGTACACACAGTGCCCACAGCCAACAGCATGTGTTTCTACTGGTGGTGCATACCTCCATGTGCCTCAGTACATATAAAATTCATTCTACACATTGATGGAATATTTTCACAAATAAGGATTGGCTTCAATATATTCTGCATAGTCTATATAGTTGCATATGACCAAAATTATATTTTTAAATTGCATAAAAAACTATGCTAAAAGAACATTAATATTACAAAGTAAGGAACTCAAATTACCTCTGAACAAACAGAACCTCTTCTGGTTCACATTTTCTTTTGCAATGCTACTTACGTCATCATTAAGATGTTCTTTCTGAATGTGGCAGGAACCACTACAATTTGCAAAATCCTTCAAAATAGCCGAAGTCACCCCTATTCTGCAAGTTCTTCTCTATTTAGAAGTGAGCAAGATCCTATCCCCCACGAAATGTAATCCCCAAAATGACCCTTTGAAAAGCCAAAATATCTTCTGAGCCACAGTCCTTTTAAAAGCAGGATTCAGGTGGATGCCAAGAGGATTCAGAAGGTACATGCCAATCCAAAAAACAAACCTTTCAGAGCCTGCAATGGTGGCACCACTCTTGTCCCTCTGGGGATTAGCTCTTTTAAGCCAGGTCACTATGGTCCTCCCTTTCCAGGGTGTCAAAGTTTTTCAAGTCTTTTTTCATACTAACAGTCAGGCTGTTTTTATCCCATGGTTTCACTCCCTCAGTGGCTGGCAGAGCAATGAGAACCCATTTAGTCAGCAGCCAAGGTCTTTTCCCTTCTAGATCTTACTTCCTTTCCCTGAGCTATTTTCTTACTAGCTGGCACTCTCCCACATAATCCTGGGTTAGCCAGCGTCTCAGAGGAAGTAAGTGTAGACTACCTATTTCTGCAGCCTCCCAACACTCCTCCCTTCTCCCAGAGAACAACTGCAGACTCTCCCAGCAGTATGGCTGTGCTTGCAATTTCTTGGCTTTATAAATCCTGTCCAGCTCTTAGCTCTTCAGCTGGTTCCCTGACTCGGGGGATTACTTAGCAAGTTGATTACCCTCAGCTCTCATCTGTCATGCTAGTTAGCTCACTTCTCAATCTGCATTAACTTTTTCAAGGCAAGTATGGGGTAAATATCCCATCACACAACCCCAACTGCAACTAGTTCTGCTTTCAGTGCCTCTTGCAGCTAATGGGGAGTCAAGGAGAAGTACCTGACTAATGACACTGGTCCTCAAGTACTCCCAACTTCATTTTAAAGAGATTGCAAAGCATTCTGCATAGAACTCATGCATTCTAATTTAAGCGGGCAAATACCCTTGACTACTTCAGAATTATCTCAATATCATGGCAAAATTCATGACTTTTACCTCACTCTCCGAACAGCCAGTGCTTTTTTTGTAAAAAAAGGGACAGTACTCCACTTGTTGAGCAAAAACAAAAAAAGCCGGGGTGGGGCCAGCATTGCCCTTTAAAGAGACGCAGCCCCTTTAAGACATGCAGCCCAGCCACCTGTCGGACATTTACATACAGACGTGCTGGTACACTCCGTTCTTTCCAGGTAAGCTCTGACTGGAGGTGCTGATACTGCGTACTAGGCAGTACCGTCACAAAAAAAGCACTGCAAACAGCCAAGCATTCCAGAAAATGCTAGCTCTTCTGACAGAAGTCAATACAATTATTCAAGTCCCATCTACAGAGAAAAGGATCAGGAATATATATGAATATATTTGCTAGTTTCATGGTATGCAAAGTAACTGGAAACTTCCATGCTATCTTGAATCAATTAAGATGCAGGTGGAACTTTTTACATAAAAACCTGTTTAGACTGACAAATATCCCATATATTTGTGAGTCCATTAAAATGCCAGAGTCATATTTCTTGTTCTACACAGTAAATTTTCATATTACTTATGTTCTTCCTAGTGAAGTGTGAACCTTAACTATAGCATAATGAAAATATTTTAAAATGACATTTGATATCTGTGTAGTATACACACTTTACACATGTATCAAATGACTATACCTACCTTAAATAAGATTCCAGAACTCTATCTAGTCTTTTGTAGAAAGGTCGTGATGTAAAATATCCACTCCAATAATGATTATCTCTGTCTGAATACGTGAAAAAATCTCCACTCAGGACAGGAAAAAATGAATTGCTGTTTGTTTCCTCCAAATTACCTGCTTTGTGCAAAGCCTCAAAATAATCTGACAAAGTCCCGAACTGGGCCTGAAACAAAATGAAAACTGTTTATGTGGCTGACAGATTTCTATTTCCTCAATTTTGAAATTTAGGGTGGAAGTTTATAAACATGGTAACTTTCAGAGGAATACTACAGTACCTATTAAGAACAGTCATCACAGAAATATTGTTTTAAATAAAAAAAAAAGCTTAACATTTTCCCTTGACAACTTTGAATCAGAGTTGACATATGTCATCAGAAACTATTTCCAACTCACAAGATGAAATCTATCTTTTGTATTACCAAGTATAAAAACATTCTCTGTAAAGTAGCAGTTGTTTCATCAAAAATCTTAACAAAATAAGCTTTTCATTTCTCTCGTATAAGCATATATCACTTGAGCAAACATACACCTTGGCTATAAGAAATCATCTTTCCTTTCTCCCTAAAAGTTACTGGATTACTGAACTCCATAGGAATGTTCCTTGTTCATGAACGTATCACATGTTTAAATTTTAGCGGGCTCTCCTACAAGTATCAAAGACATCAAAACATAGATTTAAAAAAGTAATACAGGCAGTCCCCGGGTTACATGGATCCGACTTACATCGGCTCCCTACTTACAGACGGGGTGAGGCAGACCAGGGAGACGCGGAGCGGCTTTTCTCAGCGGACACCTCAGCTTGAGAATAAAGGACTGAGGGAAGTGAGGTGTGGGAGAATAAAACTGAGCTCTGGAGAAATGTTTGGCTAGAGTTTCCCCTACAATATGTACCAGTTCTGACTTACATACAAATTCAACTTAAGAACAAACCTACAGTCTCTATCTTGTACGTAACCCGGGGACTGCCTGTATATAAGGGAAAGCAGGAAGACCAAATATTTTCAAGTCACTAAATACCTATACTCCTTTTTGAAGTGCCATACAGAGTTTTTATTTGAGAAACTATAAAGGATCATAGAAACCTTGCACTGGAAGGGACCTAGAAAAAACATCAAGTCCAGTCACTTGCACTCACAGCAGGACCAAGCATCATCTAGATCATTCCTGACCAGTATTGGTTTAACTGACAAGCATAGCTGAAGGTTACTACAGTAAAACCTGTGTTATCTGACACTCTTGGGGATTAGGGCGTTCCAGTTATCTAAAAATTCCGATTATCTGAGGGTCCCATCAACCTAGGAAAAACCAATGGACAATAATAGTAAAACTCAGGTTTTTAATATTGGTAGTTTTGTAGTGTGAGGCAGTTGGTCTTACATTCAATTTGAGTTAAAGATGATTAGTATTTCTTAAATAAAAAATTGTTAAGCCAATCATGGTAAACCAAGCCAGACCTGTGTGCCTGAAGACGTGACAGTATTGTGGCTGGGGGCAATGCCAGCTAAACGTTTTCTCGTTACCAGAGTGCCAGATAAAGGTTTCATTGTATATAGCGAAGTCTTTCACATAAAAAGTAGTTTTGTATCTCTCAAGCAAAGAAATTGTTGAACAGCATGTGAGTAAGACTCAAAAAGCACATATTCCAATAAGTCAGGAAGCAAGAAGTTACTTACCTTATGAGGTAATAATAGTTCTTTGAGCCACTGTAGATGTGCTTGCAACCCTGCGCTGTTGATCAGAGAACTTTATAGCAGTGAGTGTTAAAATGACACATCGACTGTCCCTCCTTGTGCCCTGCTAAGGAAAGTGGATGGTTTGTGGAGCACTCATCTCAAAGAATAATTGTTACTGCACAAGGTCAGTAACTTCTTCTTTAACTAGTGTGCCAGTGGGGATCCACTCTATGCAACTGCCAAGAGTATCACCACTGAAGAGTGGGGTGGAGGGTTGTAATTAGGTCAGTTACAGATGACAATATCCTGGAGTCAAAGACTGAATTGGACGTGGAGATTGATAGCCTAATTTTCTGCAAAGGTATGGACTGACACCCAGGTCACTCATAAGAAAGGTTCCTGCAGAGGGATGAGGAAGGGTACTGAGCAGGGGAGCAGAAGGTAAAATTTATGGAATACATGTTGAAGATAACCTCCAAGATCCATCAGTTTGATGTGTTTTCCCAGGTGCTGCAGAATGTGGCAAAAGGTACCCAAACTGGATGGTCAATTACACTGATTTAGGGGAGTGGCCTGTCAATCCCTCAAACATGTCTAAATTGGTATTTTGAGGTGGATGGTTGCAACATGGAAGACTGTAGACCTGGTGGTTTGCATCTGGAGAACCAATATTTCTTTCTCTGCTGTTCATGAAAGCACTGAGTTGGATAGTCCGAGGTACAGGATTACATTAGCACTGCAGACAAAGCATTAAAGATCCCTAACAAGCTCAGAGTTGCTCTGGAAGCCCCAGCAGTATGGAGGACAGCTAACAACTTGGTGCCTACAAAAGAAAGGCCTTCAGTTACCTGCATCTCTTCAGTGAAGTCCAAAAGGTATAACCATGATGAATGCTACATAACCATGACTGTGGAGATGGACTAGAATGCTGTGTCAGCTGCAGTGATGGCTGACGGGAGCATTCTTTTAGCTATTAATTATTCTTCCCAGATAATAGCTTAGAACTGGTCATGCTGTGACTGAGCTAATCAATAAAGCCTTTGACTTTTGATTAGTTCATTTAATTATACTTGGTCAGTACACCTTGATAAGTGATGTTTAAAAAAACTACAAAATGGCAGAGGAATAGGCCTTCTCCCAAAGAGATCCAAGAGTTTCCAATCCCTATGATAGGGGATGGATATCATTTGGTGCTGGCAGCTCCAGGATTTTACAACGCCCATGATCGAGTTGCAGGAACAAAAGATATTCCTAGATCTATTACATTCCTAGCCAGTTTCCAAAAAAGAGCTAGATAAATTCATGAAGGTTGGGTCCATCAATGGCTGTTAGCCAGGATGGGCAGGTATCATGGTCCTACTTCTGTTTGCCAGAAAAACTGGGAATGGACAACAGGGGATGATCACTTGATTGATTACCTGTTCTGTTCATTCCCTCTGGGGCATCTGGCATTGGTCACTGTCAGAAGACAGAATACTTTGTCTGATGGACCTTAGGTTCTGATCCATTATGGTCATTCTTATGATGTAATATTCTTTATCACCAAAAGTGATATTTGCCATATAGTTTTTGTGCGGTCCAAAAGAGCCTCATTAATGAGGAATTCTATTCAGGAAGAGTATCAAGAAGCTTGCAGCAAGTGTCCTTGATTTCTTCAAGAGCTATCTGCAGTGTGTCAACAACCCTTTTGCCAAGTTCCGGAAGAGCCAAAAATTGTAAGAGAAGAATGATTGCCTCTCATCTGTTCTTTGGCATAGCCTCTCCCTACATTTCACCCCTGTGCTTCTCCATACTTCTCTCTGGAGATTTAGAGGTTCTCAATGTCATAGCTGAGGGAGAACATCTCAGGGGCTCACGGTTGAGGCAGGAAGCCCAAGTAATATGGGGTCAATATGCTGCTCAGGAATCCCAGTAGTACTACTGGAGTGCTGGGAGAGCACACAGTGGTAATGCTCATGGCTGGTCATATCATAGCACTGCTGGGACAGGCTGAGGAAATACCAGAGAAGCTCCTTGGTAGCAAGCATCATAGGGAGCATGGAGGAATAGGAGAATCTGGCTCTGTCTGATTTTCTACGAGGAAGTGGAGGTGCATGACAGGGTACAAAAAAGTCTCCCACAATTTGGTACCCAAGTCCCAATGTTGAGAAGAGGACTGGTAAATCAGATGCCCTAAGTTCTAATTGAGTGAAGTTCTCTTAGTTCCGCTGGTGGTATGGAGAGTGTCTGGGATCTCACCATCACCAAACGCTCTGGTAGGGCAATGACAGCAGTACCAAAAGTAGTGTGTACTGGCACTGTCTTCTTACTGGAGTGCTCTCTGCACCAGTCTCTTCCCACCAGGTACTATGGCTTAGTGCATGTGCCCATCAGGTTCTTAGGTGCATCAACAATACCTGCTGCTCTATATCTTTATATGCTCCAAGTACCAGGCTTGGATTGTCTCAGTTCCAATTAAACATGGCACATAGAGCTTTCATGGCTAGCTCAGGATTCATTCTGGGAATTCAACGCTGCCTCCATAAAGATTATCTTCTGTCTCAACTCCCCATCCTTTTAAGATCTGTGTTTGAGCTGCTGAAAGAAACCACACTTCTGGGAAATGTGGCTTTCCCCAAAGCAGCATATGCACCAAGAGTGATTGTCTAGCACAGGGACAGCCTTTTAGCAAGCCAGGCACATCCTGAAGCCCAATGAGCTGGGCATATGCCATTGGGGAAAGAGATCATAGAATCACAGAATACTAGGACTGTAAGGGACCTTGAGAGGTCATCGAGTCTCATGGTCCTCATGGCAGGACCCAGTACTGTCTAGACCAACCCTGACAGCTATTTAGCTAACCTACTCAATTATCGCTAGAGATGGTGATTCCGTAATCTCCCTAGGCAATTTATTCTAATAAAAAAAGAGGGAGAAATCAAGATTGTTTTTGAAGAGAAAATAAAAATAAAATACTACAACTAAGACTGCTAGAAATGCTAAAGGAGGAAGGACAGCGAATGTATATGCAGGCCTAAAGGACACTGGTACCAAAGTTCCCCAATCAACACCACAGAAATGCAAGCATACTTACAGTGGAGCATCCAGAGGGATATGATTCAAAGGAGAACTGGAAGCTACCGTATTTTCCGGTGTATAAGACAACTGGGCATATAAGACGACGCCCTAATTTTCCAGTTAAAACATAGGTTTTGGCCTATACTCTCCGTATAAGACTACCCCCCCCCTTCTGAGGCAACACCATTTAATAACATCAGATTTGATTTAAATCATTTTAATTAAAATGGTTTTGACTTGCATGTACTTAAAATCCTTCAAAATCCTCATCATGTTCATCCTCTGACATCATAAGTTCATCAATGACATCTTGTGGTACATTTGTAAGACAGTCATCATATGGATCTAATTCCGAATCAGATGGTGTGGCTTCAGCTTTGGCTTCCCCTTCATCTTGCCACAAGAAGTCGTCCTCCATACCATCCAAAGAATTTGATATGCCACACTTCTTGAAAGACTTGATTACTGTTTCTGCATCAATATCATTCCAGGCTTTTATGACAAAGTTACACAAAACATCCAATTGTGGCGCACGCATGTTTCCTCCTTTTGTGAATGACTTTTCGCCACTAACCATCCACTCATTCCACTGTTCTCGAATGCGATCTTTAAATGACTTGTTTAGGCACACATCCAGTGGCTGTACCAATGATGTCAATCCTGCAGGAATAACTGCCGCATCTGTGTTTATTCTTGCCAGCCTTTTCTTTGTGCTGGTAGTTAAATGAGCCCTGAACATATCCCACACCAGTAGGCTACGTTCTTGACGAAGTCCACCTGGTCGCCTACTCCATACATTATCAAGCCATAGCTTTACCCCTTCTTCATCCATCCAGCCTTTTTCATTCACATGTACAAAAACTCCAACAGGGAACTTGATTTTCGGCATTGTTTTTCTTTTAAAAATAATCATTGGTCTTAGTTTGGCGCCATCAGCTGTACATGCTAGTACCACTGTAAAACTGGACTTCTCATGTCCTGTTTTAATTAACACTGTTTTTGCACCTTTTGGATTAACAGTTTTATTTCCAACCATATCAAAATTCATAGGAGTTTCATCCATATTTCCGATCTGACTTAACGCATAGCCATGTTTCTTGCGCTGTTGTATTACATATCGATGGAGAAGACTTACTTTTCCATCGAGATCTGCAGGTAATTTTTGTGCAGTTTTGGTCTTTTGCCTCAGTATCAGATTATGCCTTTCCATGAACCTAGTACACCAGGATACAGTGGCCTTAAATCCTTTGCTGTGATCTGGGTTATATTTACCCCACTGAAGTGCAAACATACGTATTTTGTTTCGTGTCACTACATAACCGTTTTGACGATGCTCATGCACCATGTCTGCTACGTGCTTTTCAAGTTCTGACCAATGTGGGGTGCCTCCTCTTACACTTACTACTCTTTAATGCATCTTCATTTGCTTTCCAGTCTCGGACCATCTTTTCTGTTACTCCATAATGACTTGCAGCAGCACAGTTATTATGTTCCTTGGCAAACTTTACAACTTTCAGCTTGAAACTGGCTTCAAATTTCCTTCTTCTTGTTAGAAAAGACCCCATCATGGCTCCACCACCCACTTACAGAACGTGGCTGTCCCCCTGCCAGGAGCCAGGGGGCGTGGCCGTTCGCCCGCTAGGGGGCGGGGACACTTGCACGCCCGGGGCCGGCGCTCCCCCCGCCAAGCGCCGCGCGCCCGGGGCCGGCGCTCCCCCCGCCAAGCGCCGCGCGCCCGGGGCCGGCGCTCCCCCCGCCAAGCGCCGCGCGCCCGGGGCCGGCGCTCCCCCCGCCAAGCGCCGCGCGCCCGGGGCCGGCGCTCCCCCCGCCAAGCGCCGCGCGCCCGGGGCCGGCGCTCCCCCCTGCCAGCGCTCGCCGTTCGCCATGTGCCGGGGCCAGCCCCAAGCACCGTTTCGGGGACCAGGTACGTTCTATGCCCGGCGTATAACACGACTTTTTACACTAAAAAACATCCCCCAAAAATCGGGTGTCGTGTTATACGCCAGAAAATACGGTACTCAAGAAGGAAAGAAAAGTCAAAAACTCCATTAAACTTAAAGGCTATTACTTAAAGTAAGCACTATGCTTGGCCACTATCTATGTTCCTTACCAGATGCCGTATACAGAATAATTTCACAATTGAAAGGAACAAAATAAAAGTAGTCTGGTTTGTCACTAACGTCCAGTACATGCAAATTCATATAGTAGTATTCTATCAGTTGAATTATGAATATTTATTTGAAGTGGTCTCTTCTATTTTTAAATAATTTTATTTTAAAAATTGTGGAGTGAGTGTGGTTGGGGTAGAGTTGACAGTGGGGTTGCTAGTGTGCAAGACATCAGGGTGCAAAGTGCAGGGGAGGCTGTCATCATCTTGGCCAGGCAAAGCAGAAGCTGCTGGCCAGGATGACAAGACAGAGGATAAGCCTCCAATTGTACAACTGCTACACAGTTCCTATCTAGGGACAGCTCCCACATACCTGGCTGGTGGTGAGCAAGCAGAGCCATGACAGTGGAATTGAGAAAGTCTTCCTGCACTGCCACTGGACCTATTCAGCAATGTGATGACCTCCCCATGGCGCGGAGTCCACCCTCTTCCTCTTTCAAGTCATGACCAGAAGTCTATGTGCTACCTCACTAGGATCACAGCCCTCCTCTGAACCTTGTGCCTGCAGGGATTGAGTGTCACCAACTCTAAAACATTACAATGACCTCTCTGTAGAACCAC